GGTTTCCAAGCCTCCGACGAGCCCATGGCACGCAGGTTCTAGGTGTGTTCCTGAGGGGCGGGGTCCTGTGCATGACCACAGGCATTTTTCTTGGTCGTCCTGAGGTGCATCGTAGATCGTAGCAAAGCTTGTTCCAGTCTATCCAGCCTGGGCCAGTATCAGGCCTGAGAACTTGGAGAAGAAGGCTGACTCTGGGGAAGAGGAGGCCCACGGCACTCACAAGTAAGGCTTTGCCTCGTTCCGGCCCAGACACAGGGCCGCATGGTTCTTCTGTGTGGCTATCCAGATCTGATCGTAGGCCAAGGGACATGATGAAAGTATCGATCAGGCCGTGATTCCCACGCCCTCGCCTTCGAGCCCATCGCCAGCCGAAGCGTCCAGGCGTTTTCTTGAGGGACAGGAAGGGAAGGGACAGGATCAGCTGCATGGGTCGCCATGTTCTCGGATAACAAGGCCCTGCATCTCCCTAGACAACCCCTCACAGCCAGGCCCCAGACCGCGTCGGCGGAGCACGCCGACCGAGCTGCCGAGGAGGCCACATGCGGTGTCCAAAGTGCGGGCATGCTCGATGAAGGCTTCACTCGCATGGTGAGTCTAGTCCCTGTGAAGCGCAGAGTACACCACTTTCATATGTGACTCCTCCACACGGCAGAAAAGTGACGCACGGAGGCGCCACAAGAGTCGCCTGCCGTAGAGCTGCCGGCAGCAGCTGCATCGCAAGAGGCTGGCGATTTGCGATACATGTAATTCCCAGCAGGGTTGATGTATATTGGCTCGGGAAGCCAGCATGTGTTTGGCAGGAACATCAGTACTTGAAGCATGTGAGTGCGTGATCTCGATGATCTGCTTGCTGACTGAGACTTAGTCCGTCAGCACGCGAACGCAGGCAGCTGTGGCTTCCAAGCCTTCGTGTCGAGCCCAGACGGTCCTAGGTGTGTTCCTGAGGGGCCGGGTTCACCAAGTTGGACCTTTTTGTTCATTGTGTTCGTGCGCCATGCGCTTCCTGGAATGTCTGCGTAGGTCGGTTTCTGTGAACCGGAAATGAAGGGCAAATCGAGTCCTCTCGACATCAAACCTCGTTTCTTTGCGTGGCCCTTCCTCCTACTTGATGTCTGCCTGTTCTATCATATTAATAATCAAATGCATTCCGGACAGCTTCGCCCTCTAGGTCTAAGTACTTGGTGGAAGGCTTATGTGCTCTCGATAGGCTATTCTTTGATGCCCGGCCATCAGGTCCTACTGTTCATGATGTAAATCCTGCGTTACCTTAAGGACCCTAAATTATGGGAATTATGGCATATTCCTTCTAATGGGTAATGCAGGATTAGATCATCAACCGTATCAAAGCTTGGCCCTAAACCCTAAACCCTAAACCCTAAACCCCACACCCTAAACCCTAAACCCTAAACCCTACACCCTCTTCAGGCCTGAAGCGGCCTTGGCGGAGGATGTTCGCGGGTCTCGGAAGGAGGCTCAGGCCGAGAGTGCTTGCGAGACTCCAGCTTTCATCTGAGTGGTTGTCAAAATGATGGTCCCCTTTTTGGGTCCTTATTATAATACGGCACCTATTATTTAGGGTACCCCAAAACGGACCCTAATTTTGACAACCACCCATCTGTGGATCGTCTTGCATGCGGCAGGGGAATTTGTCCGAGAACACACACACACACACACCCTAAACTCCTAAACTTACCCTAAACAGCCTAAACCCTAAACCCCTAAACCCTAAACCTTAACCCCTAAACTTACCCTAAACCCTAAACCTAAACCCCTAAACCCTGGACCCTAATCCGGTTTTAACATACCCGTGCTTGCAGGTCAGCCATGAGGCTTCCGGATCCTCGTGTCGAGAGAGAGGACAGCGAAGGGTTGGTGCATTGCAGAAACGATGGGGTTTAGGGTTTAGGGTTTAGGGCCGTTGCTGCAGTGACAGAGGACAGAGTTCAGGGTTTAGAGTTTGGGGCTTAGGGGTATAGGGGATAGAGTTAAGGATTGAGGGTTTATAGGGTTTAAAGTTTGGCGAGTAGGGGGAGAGAGGGGGTGAAGAGCGTAGCCCATCTTGCTCTCATGGCATCGCATGGCATCGCAGAGTCGAGCATCCTGCAGGATCCTCGGGGAGCCAGCCTTCGGCAAGCGAGACTTGGCTCTTGATGAGTGAGCTGCGCTTGCAATGATGATCGGCGATGTGCACCCGTCCCGCTCAGAAAGACAGGCCGGCGGGACTGCAGCCGCCGTGTTCACGGACGGGTCGTCGATAAGTTCGGAGAGCCGCTCAGGCAGAGCTTGAGAGACGGGACGGATTCGGAGTTCAGCAGCCGTTGAGCCTTGACCAGGCGACCCACCCGGCCCATACAGACCTGGGCCACAAGTACGTGCAAGAGGACGGGCTCACGCAAATGCAGCATGCGCCAGTCGCCTTGCAGCTTGGTGCTTGCTCGTGCCCTTGGAGTCGCGTTCAGGCGCTTCAGCTTCCAGTGCAGATGCAGCGAGCAAGCCGCTGGAAACGGACGCCTGCCGTGCAGTCAGCTTGAAGTGACTTTCGATGGACTTGGTATTGGTAAATATGATCCAAGAAAAGGACACCAGACACCTTTTCGGGTGGGAGACGGTGTCATTGGGCCGGAGATGCAAGACAGACCCATCAAACGTAGTTCAGCTGTCAAATGGTTGAGCCAAGAAATGCTGCAAAAGGCTGCCCACGACTTGCGCAGTTTTATTTTTAATGAGGGCCAATCTCTGTACTTTAATATACTTACTGCGCATATACAAAAGAGAGAGAAACAACAGACCATCAAAAGAATCGTAAGGTGAAGCCGAATCTTCTCACCTCAGCTTGTTTTCTGTAGCCTTTATCCTAACTCACCGCGACAAGAAGCGACCATACGATTTTGTGGCAGGTCATGGGGGCCAAGTTCATGCAGAGTGTCTTAGGGTTTAGGGATTTAGGGTTGAGGGGTTTTGGGTTTGGGGTTTGGGGTTTAGGGAAGCCCTGCGCCTAATCCTGAGAGCGTGCAGGAGTGATGACTGGAATAACCCAGATCACGACAGAGTAATGTCTCTGCAAGGCCGGCAAGAATCCCTGGTTACCCCGCGCCTTACCTGTCAGTGGCAGTGCGGAAAGAGCTGTCTACATCCCTAGAGACTCCATAGTTAAGGAATATACCTTAAATCATATTAGGGATCCTATTATAACTTAAGGTATATTCCTTAACTAAGGGGTTTTGGAGTCTCTCGGTCCATGCCAAGCGCTGTCGGAGCGCGTGCCGAGGAAGGGAGCAGCTCCATTTCTTCGTCCTGGGAGGATCCTCTGCACAGTTTTTCATGTGATGCCCCAGTAGCTATATACTATACGTATCTTCTACTATTTAACCTACTATAATCAATCTAAGCTCTACTCTAACCTACTATAACCGAGTACAATCTACCAAAAAACTCTATAATGTACTATGATGGGGGTTTCCAAAAATAGAGTACCCTAATATAGTACCCTATATAATGGGTTCCTTATTATAAGGACCCCAAAATAAGGTGCCCCCTATTTTCGGAAAGTACCATATGCATGTTGCTGAACCGATAATGTCCCTAAACGCTATAAACCCCAAACCTTAAACCCTAAACCCTTATAGGTCTTGACTGTGCCTGGACTTCAGGGGACGGGACCTGGCAAGCCGGAGAGTGGCCGAGTTGCCAGAGACCGAGCTGGCAAGTGGAGTTTTAGGGTTTAGGGGTTTAGGGTTTTTGGGTTTAGGATGATAGGGTTTAGGGTTCAGGATTTTAGGGTTTAGGGTTTAGGATTGAGGGTTTAGGGCTGTTTTCTCGCCAGAGTTTCAATGTATAGCACACAGACTCGCTGCCCTGTCACTCTGAGATGGCGACCCGAATGCTGGCTGATGCTCTCAAAAGCTTCTCCGGAGATCTCCGGCAGGCCAGAAAAATCTAAGATATGTTCTGAGGCACGAGTATAACGAGTATACCAGAGTTCAATAGTGCTAATGTGCAAGTTTACTAGCAGGGGCAATTGTCCATCAAGAAGCATGCTGCGGCCGTTTTGAAGTCTATCATTCCGCGCTGTGTTTTCCCGGCGAAGGCTCGAAGGTCGCAGTACAAAAGTAGGACGACAGGGATGTGCTGTGGTTGGGAGTCACTTAGAGCATCGTCACAAGAATGAGAAGATGCAACCCTGACTCGCAGTTGGGTGTAGGGTGTTGGCAGGCAGCACAGGCTTGACTGATGTTGTCAGCTATCCAGATAGCCTGCGAACCATCATGCCGTGTTGTGCAATCCTGTCTTGCTGGTCAGCATGCCGCATAACATGAAACCTTGAAGTTGGTGTTCTGCATGTACTGAAAAGCGGTAAGGTTTGCAGGATCCAGTCTGATTCTAGGCGAGTCACCCCGGAACACAGCAGGCGTGTTTCCTTCTCCCACATCACAGCTTCAATGCATTGAGCGAAACGCGGCAAATCCACATCCGAGCTTCTGAGTGTCATGTGTAGCTGGTCTGGATGCAGTGAAGTTTTGACCCGCTAGATTTGCCTAGGAAACTTTCGAGTAGGCTAACATTTACCATAATTATGCAGTATTCTACCATAATCGATCACAACATTTGCAAGAATATACACCAATTAAAATGTGTACAGTAACATGTATGTGTATATATATATACACACATGCATATATATATATATATACATTCATGCATATATATATATACATACTGTTCTTGAGAGCAGCCGGAGGCAGCGAGAAGCATTTCATCTCGGCTTTCCTCGCCCACGAGTTCCCATCGGCCGAGTCTCGCGCCGTCTCCGGCGACTTCTCCGAGGGAGGAGAGGGGGCCAGGGCATTTAGGGTTTGGGTTTAGGGTTTAGGGTTTGGGCTTCAGGGTTTAAGGGCGTAAGGGTTTATAGGGTAGACCCTAAACCCTAAACTGTATAAACCCTAAACCCTCAACCCTTGACGATGCCCCTTCTTGCTTGATTGGCCCCACAACACGTCGGCAAAGGTCCCTGCGGCCACGCCTAAACTGCAACCAGAATCTCCAGGGTTATATGTAGGGTTAGGGTTGTTTAGGGTTTAAACCCTAAACCCTAAACCCTAAACCCTTTAGGGTGTAGGGTAGCCCTACACCCTAAACCCTGAACCCCAAAGGAGCTTCGTGCCAGCTCGCGGCACAGAACTGCTCCTGCCGCTTTGGCGAAGGCAGGTTCAAACTCGCAACAGGGCTTTGAAAGGATTTGTGGTTTTTTTTAGGGCTTGTGGGGTTTAGGTCTGGGGTTTGGGTTGGAATGGCTTTAAGGGCTTTTTGTAGAGCAGGGTTTAGGGTTTAGGTTTTAAGCGGCTTATATTAGGGCTTATAGGGCCTTGTAATGGGGCTTTAGGGGCTTAGGGTTTAGCTTATGTGATTTCGGAGAGCATCTGGCATTGCAGGAAGCGCCTCTGTCCGTGGAGCCAGCTGCACAGCGCGATCTGGAAGCAATGGCGAAGAACGCCACAGAGCAGGCAGACCAGCCGCATGGGTTCACAAGCAATTTCGGTGCTCAACCGCACGGAAATCTTTGGGTGAGTTTCGTTTAAGTGGCACCTCTTGTGAATGGAGCATTTCCGAATCCAAGAGGCTCCTCCATGCTACTGTAACCACGGTAGATAGCAGTATATTCTGGTAAAGGTAGTGCCTATCATAGTGCATTGCAGTACAATCTGGTACGTGACAGTACACTGTAGTATCAGACACCGACCGTTTTCGCCTGGAGGTTACCGCGCCAGCTCCGGGAGCTCAGGCATCGAGCAAGGCTGCAGGGTCCGCAAATGCAAACGACAATCAAACGTTGGAAGAACCAGTCGGCTATGTAGGTGTGTAGGCTACCTCACGAAAGATCAAAGCATGCCAACGACTGCATGGGGGTAGAGGTGGGCTTTGACTTGAGAAAGGTGACGCTGAGTGGAGTATATCCTCGTTTGGCACGCTTATAGTACGTCCTAGTCTATCATAGTATGTTACAACACCATACCTGGATTATCGTAGAATGCACTGTAGCATATACCTGTTTCGCATGTTTATGGGTAGGCAGGGGAGGTGACATGCTGAATGCAAATGAACCCGTCTGGTCTTCCAGACAGCGACATCGCTCTGGATTTGTCCACGTTGCTACCTGATATCAGATAGAGAGACCACACGCATTCAACCAATTGTAGCCCCTGCTGGTCACTCGCTTCGCCAGACACTCGTGTCTGTTTGAGCTTTGATTGATGGCCCGAAGCCAAGTAAAAGAGAGAGGGCGTCTCGGACATCCAGTCTCGTAGTAGCCATGCATGCTCCTCAGTCGTGTGTCACATTTGCATTGTAGTATGTTCAGAGATAACACAGTGTACACCACAATATTTATATATTTGCGCTGTACGCATGTATGTATGCATGCATGCATGCATGCATGCATGTATGTATGTATGTATGTATGTATGTATGTATGTATATTTGTATACATATATATATATATCTATCTATCTATATATATATATATATCTGTATATAATATATATATATATATATATATAATTACAGAAGAGAGGCTATGAAGATGACATGGCCAGGCCACCGCGCCGTCTCCAACTCCGGCTGCTCAACTCTCGGCTGCGGAGGCACGGTCCATGAAGGACCGGGTCTTTCCTTCGAGGCATTAAAAACCCTAAACCCTAAACCAAGTACGTCAAAGCGTATTATAGTATACATAGGATACCATCGTATCTCATAGTACGTGATAGTCTTTTGCAGTACTTTGTTCTATGTTTTCGTACATCGTAGTTTTTGTAGCATACTGGAGCGTTGATCGTACATTCGGGCTTCTACTCCTCATGGCAGAGCACGCAACTGACGCATGGACGTCAAACCATACTCGTTGCAAGAGTCCGTTGTCTGCTAGCGTCTTGTCAGGAGACGAGATAAACACCGTGTCCTTTCAAAACGTGGTTGCCATCATCCCGCATGTGGAAAAACTGAAGTTCAGATACAGCCCCAACAAGTGTCATGTAACCGAGGTGCGTCGTGGAGCCGGAGCGGTGTTGATGGGTGCCCAAACAACTGAAGCTTGCAACGTCCAGTTCTGGCAGCAGTAATTACAAACCCGACGGGATTGGCAACGCGACGAATGTGGAGGTGGTGGCGTCGCGCAAGTCTTCCGCCGCAGAGCCAGCTGCAGAAGATGCAGTCGAGAAGGCCAAGGCCCACTGACAAGTTCTGCCGCAGACCTCTCATGCTGCTGTTGCAAGAAATTTGCAGTGGAGAGCCTCTTTGTGTTTGGATAAGATTGTTTGCTTTTCTGAGTTTCCAGTCAGCTTATGGTGGACGCAGGCGGGCATCTCGGCACCTCCACTTTCGAGACCGTCGCGTGAGGAAGCGCCCAGGTCTCTTCCTGAGTCCTGGAATCCATGCCGCAGACATGGTCAGCGGTTTTTGTCCCTAGTTTCGGGTCAGCGGGTCAGGCACAGTGTATAGCATTTGAGAGTCAATC